TATCCCCAGCCCCTTTTTATTGTTTACGTTCCAATGGTTTCCAAGAGAAAAGTGGGTTTTATTTTTTTTTTTTAAGTATTTTAAAGAGAGTGGCACTGAAGTCTTTGCCCTGTGAAACCTCAGCCAGGGGGGTATTGGGAGAACAGTTAATCGGACCCTTTTGTCTGTCTGCTGTTTAGACCCACTGCAGCCTTTTATTGCCCCAAGGCAGGATTCTCCATCGCTGCCGAATCTCTCGAATGACGGATATGCCAGGTCCTCATATGGTGTGAACTTGAGACAGCGCAGGAAGCGGTAGAGTAGATGAGCTATTTTTTAATTATAAAGAGACGTCCGTACTCTTCTGGAACCAGTAGGAACCTACCCAGCTCTCTGTGTCTTGACCTTGCTTCTTTTAGCTGAGGTTCCCAATGTTTCATAGTGGAAACATGCCTCATGTCTCCTGTGTGGGAAATCCGCCATCTGAGCAGCCACACCAGCATCAAATGGGTCACGCGCCGTTCTGTAAAGTCTAGTAAACCTGCACAATAGGTACACCTCTGCAAGGGAAAGGCTGTCTTAGAATGTTCTATCTGCCATGCAGGCATCTAGGAGCATCACTAAATCTCAGGCCAAGAACCTCATTTCGCCCATCAGCTGCTGTTTGAGGGAAGAGCATCACCTCTTCTTTCCAGACATGCGTTGTGTGGTTGTGTGCACGTACGCTCAGCTAGGCAATAACAAATATGCCTGCTCCTTCAGAAAGGTCCTCTTCCTGCCTTCGCATCTCCCTCCAGTCTCTGGTGTGCTGACCATATTACGGTCTGTCCAAATGTCCACTCTGAGCGCTCTGCTTTGCGCGGGTCCGTATTTGTTTACATTATTGTGCACTAAGGGATGGAGAGCTGTGATCTCTCTCCTATCGGGGAGGTGAAGACCCTGCTAAGAGAGCTGTTCAGAATGTCCGTGGCCAATTCTGTGTCCATTTTGATGTACAGTCAGATAGATGCTGGGGTATGTTATCCCAGCGAAGGGCGATGTTCTCACATAGGTGTCAAATCATTTGTGCATTAAATGCAGGTACCTCTGTCCGTTAGGTGTTTCTTGGGGGCGCAGAAATAGCATGAAAGGAAACTGCCACTAGTTTTAATTTTAACCGATAGCCCCTGTTCTTTTGAAATTGTCGTCCAATGATGCTTTGCTATTAACTATATAATAAATGTTTATATTGCGCTTTAAGTGCCCCTGGGTAAGCTGTGTAGCACAGTGTCAAACACTGAGTCCCTGCACAGCGCATGCCCAAGGGAAGTCCTTTGGGCAGGCAGGTTGTGGGTCTTGTTGGAACACACTCTATCCTGGAAGCCAGCATCCAGGGGGTGGAGCTGCCATATCTACAGCCGTGAAACTCCCAATGTTGCTTTTTTGCCTGAGCTTGCCTTGCCATCTCCTGCTTGGAAAGAGCTTCCTTGAATGTTGCATACAGACCACGGGGTCAGATTAAGACACTCGTGGGCAAAGTCTGCGGGTGTTAAAATCCACGACGTCCGATCCAGGGAAACAGTGATTCTGTGGAGACTAAAAGGCAGATGCTAGAACCATCCTACACAGTAATGTGCAGCTATTGAACGTGACCACCCTGTACGTAAAAGGGGCGGCCGCTTCCTCAAAGCTCTGTCAAGCTATTCTTTGAAATGCCACCTTTGGGGCTTGGTGTAGACTCTTGTCCTCCACCAGGCTTGGTCAAACCGATTCTTCCCCCACGCCTATATTTCCCATGAGACCAGAGCTGGCAAAGGGGAAGGAAAGCTTTGGTTTCCCAGTATCCCAGTGTGAGTGATTCCTCCCAGCAGGGATGGCCATGGCTCTGGGAAGTCTTTTAGCAGCGGTAGGGAGCACTTGCATTCTGAGGTGGCACCAAAATGGTGAGATGCAAACGATTCTTAATTTCTCGGCATCTGAGTGGTGGCATATGTCTGTATCACTCTCCTTCGGCAGATACTTAGTCTGTTTTCTCACCTGATTGCAAACTTTAGGCAGGGCAGCACAGGGCACTGACAGTCACGTTAAACACAGGGTGTGAACAGTATTCTGTAGCTTTGGATGATAACAGTATTTATGGTGTCCAGTCACTCCTAAATCCTGCACAGGGAAGCTACTGCATGGTCTCTCTGCCCGGGGTGGGGTCACTTGTGCAGCCGGGGCGTGTTGTTTGCCTGTAACTAGGAATATCAAAACTGTTGCTTGTACCTAACAATCCCTGCTTCCTCCTTTCACTTTGCAAATTGAAATGGACACTCCAATCCCAAATCAGTGTTTATATCATGGCTTTTAGAGAGATGGCGTCGTCGCATGGAGTCCACTGTCTGGCACACTTCATGTCTGTTGCCACACGTAGCTGAGTGCCAGGAATCCTTCATCTGCACTGTACCCTCAGCATAGCAAAGTTCTCCATGACAATTGATGAGGGACAGGCTGGGTTTCCCAGGGTGTTACCTCATCATAATCACTTGACTGTTTCATTCTGCGCATCTCTGCTGAACCTCACCTGCACATTGGAACAGCTGCTCATGAGTGTCGGACGGGGCTGGTTAGAATCAGACCCTACTGAGGAAGTGACAGAGTAGAGGAAGGAGAGAAGTCTGTGTTTCTCCCCCACTACAAGATCGATCTCCATGGAGAATTTGCCGCAATAAGATGGAACCTGGTACCACTAAATCCATATGGGTCAATTTCTGCAAAACCATATGAGATGCGGCTTCGAACGATCTCTGATCTCATGCATATGGTGGCTGGCTTTGAAGCCAAGCCATTGCAAATGTCCTTCCTGTCCCATGTGGAAAGGTGGCAGTGGAGTGACGCTAAAAGGTGAAGCAGGAGATAGTAGCAGGCAAAGGCTGAGCGTGAGCAGCTTCTGCTGCGATTGATTGGACTCTAAGAAGCTGTGATAGTGATGTTCAACAGCACGTGAGTTGGGGCTTCAGAAGAAAGTTATTCAAGCTTCTGGAGGGAAAGTGGAACCTGTCTGTTAAAAAGTGTGATGGGGTTAAACTCTTTAACAAAATCATTTAAAACCTGGCCCAGTGGAGAAGGTGTGATTAAGGCCCATCTGTAACTCGAAGCATGTGTTAGTGCAGTTAATACTTCTAACGTATTCTTTCCCTCCTCTTTGTAACGATATATATGGAACGTGCTGGGGTGGGGGCCTTGTGCAGGAAGCCTGTATGCAGACCCACCCTGTAGGGGTTGTTTGTTGTGACTTTTAATGGTGTTCCGATTCCCTGCCTTCCTTTCATATACAGAATGGGGTGTAGCTTGTCCAGCGAGGAGACAGAACCTGTCTTTTCAACTCTTCGTTTGAACATTGCACATGGCCAGGTACATGGAGCACGTGTTCGCCTTGGCTGCTGTTTGACTCCTAGAAAGCCATAGAGAGAGAGGAGGAGAGGAATATTCTCAGCAGTACATTGTCTGTCACGAGCATAACCAGCTGTGTAAAACTCCACAGTTTTGTAACTCATCTGCAATGCTGCCACTTGCGTCAAGCTTGACGAGAACAGTTGTTTTGTTTTTTCTTGGGACGAGATCAATGCTTAGATTTTCCAAAACAAATACGTGGAACAATGTGGATTTTGGAATTCATTTTAAATTCCAGCTTTTTTCATTCACTGAAACGTCACTTACCTTGTTCCGAAAGCGCTGCAGGATAAGGTTTTATGCTGGGATACGAACTGAGCTAAAGGGTGTGGTGGTTCAGAGTGCTAGGGGGAAAGTGGGACTTTCCATCAATGCAATCCCAAGTTGCGTGACACTCTAGGCCAGGGCACCGAGTTAGGAGTCACGTGAGTTTTGTTGTCTTAGCAGGACAGTATGCAGTCGTACTTGAAACACACCGGTGTGGTGCATTGCTCCTCTCACTAGGGTGCCTCAGGATGTCTCCTCTCAATCATTGTTAACTGTATTGGTTTCTCTGTGTGCGCACATGTTCCTGGCTTGTTCTGAGTTGGCTTTTGGCTTTTATGTTTAGCCAAATAAATGCAAAGTCATTTTACCCAACCCTTGTCAATCTGTGCCCGACATATTTTTTTGCTTAATTTGAGTGCTTTTAATCTCCCTTGATCTGCCGTCCCTTATGGAAAAGATGATCCAAGGTAAAACCATGACCAGAGAACTCCTGAAGTCGTAGCCTTTCTTAACAGATTTCCCACCAGTTCCCCTTCTATGTGTGAAACTAGCCCTGAGCTACTGACCAAACATGCCCTGTGTCATGCTGGTTAATGCCGCTTTTCTTTACCAGTTTATTCCAGACTGTATTCTACAGCTCTGCAAGTGCAAGGCCGCTTTTTCTTTTTTTAATTCCAGCCTGGCAGCTGAGTCTGTTCCGCTAAAGCAGAGGGGACGTGCAATCTGTGCCATGTTTGATTTGCAGTTAGAAAAGTGGCAGCATTTTCCAGTGGAAAATAGACCTCTCTAGGAGTCAGGATGCCTGGGTTCTCTGTTCCACCACTGTGACCTTAGACAACTCACTTAGCCCATCTGTGGGTTTGCTTTCCCCGTGTGTGTAACTGGAATACTAATACCCATCTTTGTGAAGGCTGTTGGGGCCTCTGGATGAGTGGTGCTGTAGCTGTGATAGGTACTGACGTTTCCATAATTAAAGCTAGCAGCTGGGGCCACTAGTTTGTATAAAGGGGCTGGGTTTTTCACACTTCCCCTGACTGCATAAGTCCATAGAGACTCATTTGTACACCTCAGTGTTGGAATATCCCCATTTGTCTAAACCAGGGGTTCTCAAACTGGGGGTTGGGACCCCTCAGGGGGTCGTGAGGTTATTACATTGGGGGTCGCAAGCTGTCAGCCTTCATCTCAAAAGCCTTCACCACAAACCCCACTTTCCCTCCAGCATTTATAATGGTGTTAAATATATTTAAAAGTGTTTTTAATTTATAAGGGGGGGTCACACTCAGAGGCTTGCTATGTGAAAGAGGTCACCAGTACAAAAGTTTGAGAACCACTGGTCTAAACCGATGGAAGTGGTAGCCAAACCCTCAGCTCTTTGAGACCAGAAGTAAGCAGAGTTTTAGCCCCCACTTTTTTCCCTTTTGTTAAATTGAAATGGAGGAGTAGTGTTCGTTCCAACAGCAAAGAGCCCAGTTTAAGTGCCTGGATCGATTTTTATTCTGTATTTATACAGCACTCGAGGTGGGCTAGGCACTTTACAGATAAGGCCCCTGCACTAAGAAGCTGGTTTACAGAAACTTTGGTTCATATCCTTTGGATTTCAGAGCCATCTACCATCTGGATGCAAATTCTGTTTCCCTCCTATATGTCACTTGCCAAATGAAACTTCAGACAGCTACCTAGGGAAATATTCTATCACTGTTAAATTGCAGAGGGAACATGTGTTGGCAAAAACTCCTTGTGCCATGGCTCTGTGCTCTCAGAAGCTCCTTTCTGGTCACCACTTCTTCCTGTCTAGGCTTTGCTTTCCATGTCCCCATCCAGAAGGCTGAAAGGTTGGTATCCTGCCTTGTCGTCCTGTTTTCTGTAATACATCCTAGTCACCACCGTTATGATGAAGGTCTCCAGGATGAGCAACTGCGCACTCATGTCTGAAAACAAACCAAGAAACAGAGGGGTTAGTTGACATGTCTTTCATTAGCGTTCTTCCCTATTCACTCACCAGCCAGAACAGTATAGTTGTTTAAAGAAGTATGTTACAAAGGTAAGGGGAAATCAGGATTCACTAGCTCCCAGCAGTTACCATATGGGGGCTAAAAATATTTCCTTTTGGACAAAGGATTAATTTGCTCTTTAGAGCAGCAGAATTTCACTTCCATGCAGGTGAACAGTACCTATGTCTAGCTAGTGAGTAAGGCCTAGTTCTGCCTTGTCCCTCACCCAAGGCAGGGGCCTAGTCTCGCAGACAATGCAGTCTACTTTGCTTTTACAAGAGTGTTGAAGAGAAGCTGGCCCGGAAAATTTCCGGGAGAAAGGGCTGGAAACAAATACAGCAGCAGCTGGATTGACTAAACTAACAGTTGCCACTTCAACAGGCTGTTTTTCATTGGTGAGCAAATGTGTAGATACGCCTAGTCTCCTGCTGCGTCACGACGTTGAAAATTACAGCTGTCTTTGCTACAGTGGAGATCGCAGGTTTGTATAATTTTTGGTGGTGCCCAGAAGGGGTCCAAGTCCTGCCCCCCTCCCCCCCCTCGGCCTTCCCCACACACACCCCTTCCTTGTAAGCTGATACATATTTTTTTAAATAATGTAAAAATAGACTGGAAACAGTAAACATTTAACAGTTTTCCAATATTGCACAATATCACTATCGTAAGAAAAAATTATTTAACTAAGAGTATCAACTTTATTAATACTCGTTTGAATACGGAAACAACCCAGCACTCTTGGATCAATAACCCTCAAAAGGAAACAGCTCTGTCTAATTCGCTATTGGACTCCAACCACATAAATCTTGACAGCCAAGACTGATGAAAACTCCTTTTCTGATCTTTTAGATTTGCCACATCTTTCTTTTGTAAAAAGAAAAGGAGTGCTTGTGGCACCTTAGAGACTAACCAATTTATTTGAGCATAAGCTTTTGTGAGCTACAGCTCACTTCATCGGATGCATACTGTGGAAAATACAGAAGATGTTTTTATACACACAGACCATGAAAAAATGGGTGTTTATCACTATAAAAGGTTTTCTCTCCCCCCACCCCACTCTCCTGCTGGTAATAGCTTATCTAAAGTGATCACTCTCCTTACAATGTGTATGATAATCAAGGTGGGCCATTTCCAGCACAAATCCAAGGTTTAACAAGAACGTCTGAGGAACAGTGGGGGGGGGGGAGGAGGAATAAACAAGGGGAAATAGGTTACTTTTTATAATGAATCAACCATTCCCAGTCTCTTAACTTCAGTTTGCAGGCCATCACTTGATGAATTACCCTTTTGTTCTTTTTCTCTGGGTAACTTTATTAAGAATGTATCCATTGTTGTTTATTATTACACAAAATTAATGGGATTATTATTACACAAAATTGTGGGAGGAGACTCAGGGTAGGGCAGAGGGTTGGGGTGTGGGGGGGGATGAGGGCTCTGACTGGGGTGTGGGCTCTGGGGTGGGGCTAGGGATGGGGTTTGGGGTGTGGGAGGGGCTCAGGCAGAGGGTTGGGGGGGGGTGAGGGCTGTGGGGTGGGGCCCGGGATGAGGGATTTACGGTGCAGGAGGGGGCTCAGGGCTGGGGTGTGGGGGGTGAGAAGTAAGAGATTCCTTTCCTCTCCCAGGCTGGAGACCAGGCAGAACTCGGTTACATGACTGGCATTACTACACGGGGTGTACACTATTTTAACTGACTTTGTTGTTTTAACTATTATACAAATATTTCAGCCTAGTAACCAAGATGAAAGGAATCTAAAAGGGTAAATCTTCATTAATGTGCACAGGGAGGTAAATGCGAAACTCTGTTATTGGAGACATGGCCAGCCTGAAAGCCATGTATTGTAAACAAGTATTTCTTTACCTCTTTATGGCTCTCTCTAAGTCTGCACATCTCTTATCTTGGACAATGAAAATCAATTAAGGTGCTTCCAAGTTCTCAGTGTTGTAATCTTCGGGTTGCGAACACTTGATGGAAATTTGTCCTTGCTGTAAAACCAGTGTTTTTAATGGAATTTAAAAGAATAACAGGGGGGGTATTTTTCAGTGGGTCTTCAGGGTTTGTTTTTATAAAACTAATTTTTTAGATGAAGTGTCACCTTACTCGGCTTGTCCACACTGGGGTTTCACACTAACAAAAACTGCCAGCACAAGTCATGATTAACTGGGCATGGATTGTCTGCACTAGGGGCTTGCACAAATGCAGCTATGTTGGTGTAAAATAACCCAGTGCGGACAAGGCCTACAAGTCAGACAGTCTACCCCCCACAGCAATGCACCCCTAAGAACCACATGGAAAGAAATGCCAACTCCAAAGCAAAGAATGGGGCCGGGGATGACAGGTTCACTGTGCAGGAGGGGGCTTGGGGCTGGAACAGAGGGTTGGGCTGTGAGAGCTCTGACTGGGGGTGTGTGCTCAGGTGGGGCTGGGGATGAGGGGTTAACGATGCAGGAGGGTGCTCAGGGCTGGGGAAGAGGGCTGCAGGGTTCACGGTGCAGGACAGGGCTCAGGGCTGGGTTACAGGGTTGGGGTCGGGGGAGTGAGGGCTGGGGCTGTGGGCTCTGGGGCGGGTCTGGGCCGGGGATGAGGAGTTCAAACTTTGGGGTGCAGCAGGCAGGCTGCCCTGGGGCTGGGGCCAGAGAGGCGGACTCCCCCCAGCCCTCTCCCCACCAGCAGCAACAAGCTCCAGGGTGGGGCCTCCCTCTCCCCGGCACGACACTCACCCAAGCCCCAGGCTGCTGCTCAGGAGGTCCAGACAGGATAAGCCCCCTCGGAGTTGCCGGGCAGGGGGTCTGCCATGCCGCTGCGCCGCCTCCCCTCCGCGGGTGCAGCAGTCAGCCTGCCACCCGTGCCACTCCATTAGCCGGCAGCGGCCAGCGAGGGAGGGCAGTGCAGAGCTGCAGGGGGCAGCTGCCTGGGGCAGGCAGGGACGCTCAGGGCAGAGGTGCGGGGGGGGCAGCAGGCAGGGCCAGGGGAAGAGACGTGGCCCTGAACACTGGAGGAGCCGGGCCCCTGGGGCCCTGAATTTGTTGGAGCCCGAGGACCAGGGGCCCATACAACTCGCCGCCCTTCATGGAGATGCAAAGAAGGCAATTACACTTTCCTTCAAGGAGTGCAATAAGAGGAGCTTCTCCTTTTCTTTCAAAAGGGAAGAAAAAAACATTTGTGAAAATATTCCTGTGCCATGGAGAGAGAGGCCGACTTCAATCCTGGGCCAGTTTTCATCCTTAAACTAACCCAGGCCAGGGCCTCTTGCTACTCACACTGTGACCTCGTCTTGGAGGACAAGGGCGGGGCGCAGGCGATCTGGCCACTGCTTTGCAGGATGCTCAAGATGGAGGGCTGTAGCGCAGTCAGGATGAGGAGCACCTGCCACCAGAAGAAGTGGGGATGAGAGAGCTGCTTGCAAACTGAGGGACCCCCACCAGGGGGTGTGTTGGTGTATCCAAGGCCTAGCCCCTTCCTTCACGCTGACTTTCTCATTCTAGCAGCTAGTAGCTTTCTTGCATACCCTTGGCCTCCCGAGGCCCCCGCAGCAAGCTCCAGCTCTGCTTTGAATACGTGTCCACGGGTCAGCCTTGCTGCCGCTTTGTGCTGGAGACTCAGCTGCTGAGTCTGTCACCACCACCTACCCTATTCCTCAGCCGTTCGTGCCACTACACTGGTACCTCGCTCTATAGCCTTAAAAACCGCAGTAGAGGGGGTTTAATGTTAGCCCACTTTCCTGATACTTAAAGCATCTAAATTATTTCCTGGGACCACTCCCTGCGTTCCCATATCAGGTGAGGAACTGGTTCTTGAGCCCTACAGGGGTTACACCACCCAGCTTTGTGTCTAGGCAATAACTATACATTATTCAAACTACAGTGACCAGTTAAGTCTAAATATGAGTCCTTCGCTGATCCTGCTGTAGCTTGGGAGAAGCACAGTATCCTCTCTTTTGGGGCAGACTTCATAAGATCTTCCTCTTTTCTCCTTGGTCCACAATTCTTGCCCTCCCCCTCACCCCCATTTTTTTTTTAAACTAAACTTTCAAATCCCTGCTTACTCAAAGGAATCTTTATGTCAGTTTCTCCATTTTTACATAATTTCCCCCTTCCGTGTCTGCCATTTCAATGCCAGGTATCCTAGCGTGTGCTGGAATCCTTCTCTGTCTTGATCCACCCTCCTGTGTACTCCTGCTGCTCACTCACCGCATATGGCAGGGGTACTTGTGGGAAAGCGGGGTCGGTCTTAAGCATTGAGCTGGTCCTATTGCTCATTCCACACCTGAAGCCCCTCGTGCTCCTTGAGAGGACAAGGTAGTTTCAAGACAGGGGAATAGAAAGGCAGCCAGCTCTGGGGTATCAGCCAGCCGGAATATGGTATGCTGCACATGTGGGGCAAGTGGAGTTTTGAAGGACCCAGTTTATAGGTGCAAAGGCCAATGAAAGCCCCTTTGAGGCCAGGAAAATGCTAACAATCGGTAATCACCCCGAGCAATGTTACCTGGAAACAAGCGAACTTGGCCCCCATGTTCTGCTCTGCCAAATGCACCCTCGCCTGGCGGAACATGATCCCAAGGGCCCACAGAGCAAAGATGGTGGAGAACCCAAGGCAGGTGTTTATCCAGAGTGCCACGCTCTTAGCGGAGATCTGGGAGGGACAGAAGAAAAGGAAGCATGGCTGTGATTTCCAGCCCCGAGTAGGAGACGGAGCATTGTCCAGGATGGGGCACGGGCATGCTGCCCTGATACCCCTGGGCACTGGGGAGAGATGGAGAATCCGAGCAAGACAGGCAGCCCCACAAGTTGCTGTCACGTTCCCCTCCCGCTGCACAGCCAGGGAAGCAGTCTCCCTTCTAATGCTGGAACTATGGCCCAGAGTCAGAGGTAGGGCTAAAGTGGTACCCTAACCCCTCTGCCTTCGATGGGTGAAGGGTTATGACTTACATCAGCCGGATTGTAGTTTCCATCTTCAGCCAGGGCCAGCCCCACAAAGACACAGGCTGTCTTGAAGAAGGCAAATTGGAAAGTGCCCAGAAGAAAGAGTTTAAGTTTTCCCCTATGATGGCAACAGAGCAAGACGTCAGTGACCGCTCCGGAGCCAGGAGCTTGCTCCTTGCAAATCTGCTTTTTACCCAACCTTCCACCACTTGCCACCTTGCCTTGCCCTCAGGCCACCCCTTCTAGGCCTGCAGAACGGACTATAACATGAGACTGGAATGCCCTGTGAGCCAGAGACCAAAACTGCCTTGTGAAATTCACAGGGATTTCTAGTACAGCCCTTCCCTGCCACTGGCCAAGCACATTGGACAGCAAACTCTTGGGAGCAGAGACCTTGCCTTGTGGGGCTGATCTATAAATCATCCCACATCTTTCGCTTGGCTTTTGGTAGCACCTGGGAGCCCTAGTCATAGACCCTGCCCCCACGGTGTGAGGTGCTGGACAAACGACAAACGAAAAGACAGCCCCTGCCCCAGAGCGCTGACAGTTTCCGTATAAGATAAGATGACAGCTGGATCCAGACAGACTGGAGAGTAGATGGAAACAATGAGCCAACACTTGGGGCTGCTCTAGATTGCACAGAGGTGGACTGAAGCCAACCGTTGCCCCTTCCCTCCACGGGGTGTGGTGCAAGCAGAGCTCAGCTGCTCCCATGCTTCTGGCCGGGCACCTTCAGAGGGAGTTATGAGGTTCAATGTACCTCTTGGGAGAAGCTGCACCGCCCAATGGCCGGCTTCTCGTAAAGGGAGGGGCTAAGGAACCCGCATTCCTCCCAGCCACTGCTGTCCCTGTATAGTGCCCCAGGGCCCCCATCAGTGCCCAGGCCCGGCAGCCTTACTTGGTCATAGTGATGCGCGGGCAGCAGGGGCAGCAGCAGCAGCAGGGGCCTGTGCTGATCACCATGGGCGTGTCCCTCAGGGCTTTGAGCAGGGCCTCCTTCCCCCCGAAGCCTTCCACCATGATCAGCATGAGGAGGTAGAAGCATATGCTGAAGTACCTGGGGGCAGCACGGGGGGGGGGGCAGAGAGCGAAGTCAGCCCAGGGAGGTGACAACGCCACAGCACAGAGTTTGCTCCGCACGGGGCCAGGCCCCGCTCCTGCAAGGCGCAGAGACAGATTAACACACGGGGGGGGGGCTGGCCAATTTGGCAACCCCCGGAAAAATCTCATGATGCTTGGGCAGCAGGATTTAGCTGCTGCATCGTCTGCTCTGCTAGTTGGGCTGGCTGGGCTTGGAGCAAGGCTTCTTGGATGAGCCGGTGAGGGGATCAGCCGGCGGGAGGCTCTTGCATCTGGCTGGGCAGCCAAAGGGAGGTGGGGAAGACCACCTCCTGCTGTGTCTCCTCCAGTCCCGGCTGGAGTCCTACTGCCCCGAGCCCAAGGACACAGGCTACAGGCTGCAGCCTGCAGCACATCAGCGACCGGGAGAACGTAGACAGGAAGAGGGGTGGGCTGGCTGCTGGGATGGGGAGCTCCCCGCAGCCAGGGGCGCTGGGGAAATCCCCACTACCTCAACCCACCAGTGAGCTCCCAGGGAAATGCAGCCCCACAAGCATGTGGGGAACCAAGGGGGGGCTCTCTGCTGTCCTCAATGGGGGAAACATGGAAACCCCCAACCCTACACACACACACACCCCCGTGGTCTCTGCCTTAGCTCTCAATATTCAATCACTTCTCTCCCCAGGTGTGACCTGTTCTCTCTCTCCTCCTCTTCCAGTTTTTTCCTGTGTCTTTTGGTGATTGCAAAAGGCATGGTGAGACGGAGGCTTTGTCTGGGTTTTTCATACCTCCAGCCACGGTTTTGAGGCCTTTGGATGCCCCTATCTCTGCACCTCACAATGCAGCATTATTTACCTCATCCTAGTATGTCATGAGGTAGCCCTGTTTACCCCCACGTGAGATCGTTGTGGATCCCACCTCTCCACGCATGTGGTTCTTGCCGTGGGATCTTAGGGTGGGTTCTTGCCGTGTCCAATTTGACAGGGCATTATTCACCCCCTGCTCAGCTGATATGAGGCCTTCCGTAGTACAGGTCTCCCACTTCGGCAGTGGATGAAAGACATAGTGCTATTTACCGACGGTACGTTTAAGCTCTGTGTGTGTTTCCCCCTCACCCAGCATGAACTGATGTGGCTCTGTTTACACGGGGTCCCAGATTCCAGCCCTAACTCACTCAACTATGAACTTCACAGATGAATTGTGGCCCACCCAAATTTACTTCACAAAGATGGCTGGTGGAAACAACTGCTGCCCTAGGCAGCCATTCCTATGGGAATGCCAAAGCCAAGCCAGGCTAGGGATAAAACATAAAGGACAAACCCAGATAGTTATAGAAATGGGAGAAATGTATCTTGGGAGGCCCTTCAGCTCCAGTGACTTATTTCCCTTCCCTCCATTACACCAATGATGAGGCATTGGGAGAAGGGAGTGCTGAATATTCTCTCTCTGCAGGATTATTGGACAAACTATATTCTCATTGGCTTAGTAATGACAGAACTTGCTGTGGTGTGCTCTGGCTGATCAGAACCTGGCCTCTTCTTCACAGTGTGATTGAACGGATACGTACATGCTCGTTTCTGTTTACGTTTTAGCACTAACTGTTACAGCTAACTGGTAAAATGTCACCTTGCTCACGGTTTGACATGAACTTTGGCACCCATCAGAGTCTTTCAATGTTTCTTCATAGCTGAAGTGATCAATTGTAAACTTTGCTTTAAATCAGTTCTCACCATTGGCTGAACCTTACAGTTCTGAATAATGAGTCATTGTGCCTCAGGTTTGGCTTATTTCTTTTAATTAAGTTACTTTCTGGAACGGTGCCGCCTGTTCTTTCAGACAATAGAAAAACTGAAAGATAACGCGATCAACAGGTGGGAAAACCGCACACTGGCCATGTTCAAGATAATTGGGGGAGATGAAAGACCCGCTTCTTGGCCTGCGAACAACTGATTCCTGTAATACCAGGGTTGCCCAGGTGAGCAGTGTGATGGTATGGATAAGATCTAGCTAGATTCACTTTCTGTGTGGAAAAATTGAGCAGTTAATATAGGCATAAGGAACCGGGATAGGATTTGCTTCGTTAGTAAGGCCGTGTGTAAACACTGAATTGAGTCATCTTATTAATACAGTTTGGTACATCCATGTTTTTTATGCGGCGGGAGGAACGTTCTTTGTGCCCAGGGCCCTAATAAATCTTAATCTGCCTCTGGCTAGGCCAGGAGCAGCCGGATCAGTCCGAGCTCCCCCAGGCTGCAGCGGGGCCGGGTGGTAGCAATACTCACATGCCAATAGCCATCTCCACCACCATCATGGAGCGTGGTAACCAGAGCCCAAAGCAGCAGAACACGGAGACCATCTGGAGAAGAAGGGAGGGCAGGCCCAGCGTAAACGGGAGGTAGCCAGGCATGCTCCAGTCCAGTTCCCCCACAGGCCCTGGGGTAGGCGGGTGAGCGGATGGCAGAGATGGGCCCACAGCAGAACTCTGGAGCTCCACGGGCCGGCCCGTTTACAATCCAAGCTCTATGGGGCTGGATTTTGCAATTGGTCCCTTGCCCTAAAGTGGTCTCAGCATCTCATCACCCCCGCTACTTGGGGGAGCTCAGAGACCCGGCATGATCCCAGATCCCCCTGGGATATTTGCAGTGCCCCCAACTCTGGATCCACTCTCTAATGCGGATGTAATAAACCAGACCAGCACGGTCCCCTGCCCTCCGCAAGCTAAAGCTCCAGGGCTCACTCCCAGCCTGCACTGTCCATCAGCATAACAGGAACCCACAGCATGGCTGTGAATGCCCGCCAGGATCCTGTTGCCATCCCCTCCCTCACAGCGAAGGCTGGGGCTCACCGTAGGGGCCGAGCTGCTCCAGATGAGGGTTTTCATCTTGATCACGCATCGGATCTTCTTTGACAGGTAGATGGCTTCTTCAAGGAAGATGGCGACCGACACCAGTGTCAGGAAGGTCATAAGGCCATGGATGGAGAGCTCGATGGGGTCCAGCTCTGCAGGGAAGGGAGGGGATGAGAGAGATGTCACGGCCGTCCCTCCCATGCAGTGCAAAAGCCCCCTGGAAATCTGCATGAGATGTGAACACGCTCTAGGGAGGGTGAGTGGTTGGCCAGCCGTCCCTCTGCCTTTTCTCCCCTGTCCTCGGGGCTGGGTCCCTGCCCCTCCCCACTGCCCCACTTCCCTGCTCTCTCCCTCAGCCCTACAACCAGGAGCCCTTTCCCCCTGCCCAGCGCGGGGGCTGAGAGGGCGGGACTGCTCTGTGACCCAGCCAATATTGAGTCCTGGCCCAGTCTAACTCTCCCCCTCCCCCCGCCGGCACCCATGGGGCAGCGCCCCCCACGTACTGTACAGCAGCTGCAGCGAGGTGGGCGGCTTGGAGACACAGGCCAGGGGGACGCTGAAATTCGTAATCAGCAGCTTAATCAGCTGAGGTGAGAACCTGCAGGAAAACCAGGCCCCCGGTTAGCTCCGCTCTCGGGCTGGAGTCCAGTCCCACCTGTGGGGAGGGATTCGAGGGGTGCGGCCAGCAGCTTGCACTGGGCGCTGTAAGATCTGCCCATCTGCAATGGGTCATCGGCCAAGCTCGCCCAGCCCAGCTACGCAAGGGCTAATCATACAACTTGGCCCCCTGCAAAGCCCCATGGCCACTGGGAGCGCTGCTGGCCTCCCTGGGTGGAAAGCACTCGATGGGCAGCCCTGATTCATGACCCCCCCAGCGGGGGCAACAGCAACCGATCACAGGCTGCAAAGGGGCCAGTGGACGAGGAGTGACCCCTGTGAAATGAGTGTGGCAGGTCTCAGCCCAGTTCCCTTGGAGCAGGTGCCCCAAGGACTAATCACCCTTCACTCGTGGGGCCTGGGTTTAAGGTGAGGTGAGTTTATGGCTAGGCATTTCTGGGCGGGGCTGGCGTAGTTAGAGTAACCAGATAGCAAGTGTGAAAAATCCGGACTGGGGGGGTGGGGATAATGGGTGCCTACAATAAGAAAAAGCCACCAAAATCAGGACTGTCCCTATAAAATCAGGACATCTGGTCACCCTAGTCGTGGTCGGAGGTGACCAGCACTAACTGCCCCAGAGCTGGCAGAACAGGGTGACACATCCTGCTTCCCTGGGTACTCAGCCCTCTGTAGCAGATGGGATCTGCCCTGGCTTATAAATAATGGCACTCAGCAGGGAGCAGATTGCACCAGGTGTCTGGACATTTCCCGAGGGCATTGGGGCCGGAGGGGGGGTGGGGAGGGAATTCACCCTCCTCCTTCACACAGTCCTCAGCCCCCAGCACGCCCCACACCAGCGCAGAACCAAGCAGCTGCCGGCTGAGCGGCGAGGAGCTGCTCTGCCTGCAGCCTCGACGTCCCCTACCTGGGGTCGGATAGGAGCTCTGCAGAATACTCCATTCTGCCCCTTCCCCCGGCGATCAAGCTGGCTCCTGCTCACTCTCCACAAGCCCAGCTGCTGGCTGGCAAAAGGCTCCAGCAGCGTTTGCCAGGCGGGGGCAGAGTCCCAAAGGTCGGCGCTCGCAGCCCGGCCTTGTGCAGTTGTAACTCCCCTTCCGGGGTGGGGGGAACGGATCAGTGGTCACGATGCATCCCCCGTAGGTAACCGGCTGTGGTTTGTCTGGGGACACAGACACTCCAACTAGCAGAGCAAATTCAAGGGTTACCACGAATCTCGGTCAACCGGTTTGCACAAATAACTCCCCCACCCCGCCTTCTCTGTGTGTGTCAGGAGGTTCATTGGACGAGAAAGTGGTTCATCCCCGCTCTGCAGAGAGGAGCTGCCCTGGCTATCAGCTGCCAGGTTATTGACCTGGGGCCCAACAGCACTAACCAGCCAGGATCGGGGGACTTTGCATCCACAGCAGGGAGAGGACGGCTTTCTAACGTGGAGAAAGTGGAGTTAATGCAGTGTGTGCACGCATGTGTTTTGTGGGGCGAACTCTGGCCCCCCCTGCTCGGCGGGAGGGTGACTCCATCATTCGGAGAGCTCTGGGGGTGACAGTGGAGGGCAAAGCAGACAGGAGCTTGCCTTGGGACCCGGCTGTGCACGAAGCCAGTGCAGCTCTGGGCTTTGCAGTAGTGAGCCCGCGTGGGCCCTGCTCTGTGGGGCTGGGCCCTGGCACAGCTGGGCAAAGTGGAGAGAGTTCAGCGAAGGGCAGGGCAGGGGCGGGGGGGGGGGGGGGGGAGCGAGTCCAGGGGGGACAACTGAGAAGGGAAAATGAAAGGAGCAGAACAAGCTGAAACTGGTTGAGCAGCAGCTCAGGGGGAGGGGATTCATTGGAGGCCTGAGGGGGGTGCACTCGCTGCAGTGGGGTGGAATTTAAAAAGAGAATCATGGGAAAGGGTCCGGAGAGTGAATCGTTCCCCTGGAGCAGCTCTGTTGCTTGGGGCACTTAATGCTAGCCTGGACGAACTGCCAGCAAACAGGTCAGGGAACAGCCCAGCCCCGGCCCCAGGAGACGGACCGGAGCAGCAAGTGGGTCATTTCCATCTCTAACGTCCAGTCCTACAGATGGAATCGCAATTAACCTTCCTGCCACCACTACCGGCCTGGGCTCCCGGCTGGCCTCTGGCTTCACCTCCCTGGGTGCTGAGCAAAGTCACGGTGAAACCTTCTACCAGGGACACGTCATGGTCTCTCGGCAGCGAGGTTTTGCCACCGCTCCAGTGCAGTTCTGCAGTGTGGGGTGTGGAAACCCACCAGCCCCCCAGGCTGGGCTTCACTCTGATTTGCACCAGAGCTGAGCTACAAGTAGGGGCCCAGCCTGTGGGCATGTGGGGATGGGCTTGGAGCTGCCAGGGACGCCGTATGAATATTGTGTGTTAACCAGGCTATTATGATGGTTTCCCGCGTAGCAGGGCTGTCAGGAAATGCGCCCAGGATGGGGCAGGCGGCGTATCCTACCCACATCTCTCGGACACCGGAGAACAACGCACAAGCCTTTGTTAGGGAAAAAGGGTTCCCCTCCCGTCTAGGGTTAGGAGGGTAGCCTTCCCTGGACTTCTGTATTAGCCAAACAAAACACAGAGTCTTGGCTCTTTGATAAAGTGAGGCACTTTATTGCTAGCAAATACGACAGCTGAAGGGCTCACCAATTCCTTTTCAGAGGAAAATGGTGAAGCCCCGAACAAAGAACAGGGATGAGCTTTTATAGCTTGGTTCAACATACATTGTGATATCTCTTCCAGTTCGAACCGGTTAACCCAGTCTGTTTGAAGTTCTGGGGTAGGTACGAGCATGGAGGCTTATCTGTATAAGGAATTCTCTCCCCAAAAGCAGGGAGTGCAGGTTACACACAGTTCACATTCTTTCTATCCATAAACAAAGTAGAAAGGACAGATAAGCATAGAAAAAAGACAGCAGCGTAGCTTTACATGATTATAGGGTCGTTTTCTGGGTTTTTTTCCCTATCACCTTCACCTTGATTCACCGGCTCAGCCCCCTTCTGGGCCTGTCAGGCTGGTTCCCCCAGAAGCGAACTGGTCCCTGTGGAGTGGGGTCGGGGCCTGGGAATCAAAAGACGTGGGGGAGTTTGAGACACTGAGGCAACGCCGGGGTGGGGGGAGTGTCACGTGCCCAGCGGATTTCTACCTTCCCTATAGCCACAGCTAAATGTCCCAAAGCGACGAATGCAGAGGGGCCATGCAGACTCTGCCCCAGCCCACTACATGGGACTGCTTCTCCTTCCTTGCGGAGGGGCGGGGGTGAACCCCCGCTTCGGGGAGGCTAGCCTGCTGGCCCCGCCCCAGCTGAGGCCCCGCCCCTGAGTCCCCCTCGTTCCCCCCGTGGCTGGAGCCTCTCCCCCTCTTGCGACTGGAGGAGCCCAGGCTGGCTGGCCCCAGCCATGCTGGCCAGCCCAACCCCCCCACCCCGGTCTGCCCGCCTCAGTTGTGCCAGCCGGCCTGACCCGCCCTGGCTGGCCCAACCCCCACCGGCCAGCCCAGGCTATGCCGGCTGGCCCTACTCCCACCAGCCCAAGCCACCGCAGCGGCTGGCCCGAGCTGCCCATGGCTGCCCCAGCCCCTGGCTGCCGGCCGAGCCCCGAGCTCCAGGCCTGGGCGGGCGCTGAGCCTCGGCGGGCTTCAGGGGACGGGGCGCTGAGCGTGGACAGGGCCACAACCTAGCTTAGGGGAGGCTTAGCCCCCCCCGGCCAATGATACCCGCTGCCCCTGCCTGCTGGGGCAAACGCCCGGGCCTATTCCTAGGCTAGAGGCTGCTCTCCCTCCCACTCCTGGGGCAGGGGCTCTGCCCCGGGGAAACCGCTCCCCTGGCACTGTCCTGCCTTCCAGTTAGCAACAGCTGGCATGCCCTCCCCGAGCCTCGCTGTGCGCGCGGGGCTGGCCCGAGCCGCCTGGCATCGCCGCTCCCCCCGAAACGTCTAGAGGTGACGGGGGGGGCGGTCATGTGCCCCCCCCCCCTTGAAATCCGCTCCGCTCCCCACATCAACAGTTACGTATCCCCTCTGTGACCCACAATCCGGCAAGGAGAGAGCAGAATTGGCGAGGGAGGTATCTGGCCCTCAACCTCCAACTCCCATCAAGTTAGGAGACTAGCTACCCGTGAGGATCTCAACCCCTGCCAAGCGGGCCCGGAAACCTTCGGCCTCCCTGGTCCCCAGCAGGAGGACGCGGGACGCCAGGTGTGACAGCCGCGCACGGGGGCTGGGTTAAAGCCCTTTTCTCCGAAGCGCTCTGCTCCTGGGGTTAAAGAAACGGCACTGCTTGGAGAACGGCCGTTTCAGCTCAGTGGCAGCCACAGGTCACAGCGAGGGTTGCCAAGTTTCGAATCGCACAAAACCGAACACCCTTGCCCCGCCCCCTGCCCCGCCCCTTCCCCTAGGCCCTGCCCCCCAGTCACTCCATCCCCCCTCCCTCTGTCACTCACTCTCCCCCACCCTCACTCCCCTGCTCACTTTCACCGGACTGGGGCAGGAGGTTGGGGTGCAGAAGGGGGTGAGGGCTCTGGCTGGGGATGCGGGCTCCGGGTGGGGCCAGAACTGAGGGGTTCGGGGTGTGGGAGGGGGCGCCAGGCTGGGGCAGGGGGTTGGGGTGCTGACTCTGGGGTGGGCCAGGGATGAGGGGGTTGGGGTGCAGGAGGGGGCTCTGGGCTGGAGGGTGGAGCTGAGGGGTTGGGAGTGTGGGCGGTGGCATCAGGCTGAGGCAGGGGGTTGGGGTGCGGGAGGGGGTGAGGGCTCTGGGCTGGGGTGTGGGCTCTGGGGTCAGGCTATAAATGAGGGGTTCAGGGTGTGGGAGGGGGCTCAGGGCTGGGGCAGGGGGTTGGGGTGTGGGCTCTGGGGTTGGGCTATAAATGAGGGGTTCAGGGTGTGGGAGGGGGCTTGGGGCAGGGGGCTTGGCAGGAGCCGCGTGGAGCCGGGTGGGGAGCCTGCCAGCCCTGCGCCAACCGCACTTTTAACAGCCCAGTCGGCGGTGCTGACCGGA